CATATATATGTATATATGTATCCAATGACAGTCATTGTGCTCTGTAATTGATTCATAGGAGGTACTATAAATACACATTTAATAAATATTATCAAGACACATTTCCATATAAAATAGTTACTGCATTTGATTTTTTTTCTTCAAAAACAAAAACCCATTTTTTTTAAAAAAAAATCTGTTATTGATCACTTGCAATGTCAGCAGCAAGATTCTGGTAACTGAGATAGGTAATAGCACTTAAACCGGGACAGGTGACTAGCTGGCCGTCCACTCACAAGCCAGACTCGGCGAACACGAAAGCATCTAAACACATGAGGACGGCGTCTTCAGCGGCTCCTCCTGTTGTCACAATGACAGTCACTGAATATTACACACATGGGTTCCGTGTGGCAGAGAAGCCGCACAGACAAAACAAAGTCCACCTTAGGCTGTGTGAGAAATTAACATACCGCCATCAGCACAGGACCTTCGAAATAATTTGAGGGGATGCTTACAGATGCATTCCTATACACAAAGGGTTGGCAGACGTTCATGTTGCCAGGTCTTCCCCAGTCCACGCCTCAGGTTGGTTTTAGAGCCTCCTCGTCCGCTGCAGGGGGGCTCCTTCGAGGAGCCGAAAGCAGGTGACTTTATTAATCACCCGTGAGAGAGTGACACGTTGGTGAATCTTCACGGAATCACTGGACAGTTTCTGGTGGAAGTCTGCTCTCGTAGAGGCATAGGGCGTGGTGCACAAATTCATACTGCTCACTGGTTTGGACCATGCCACCCCTGCACGGAAGAGATCGTAAAATAACTCAGTATGGCCGGCACCTTATCATACCGTAACCTGGACATGACACCAGAACTAGAGTGTTATGCCAAACATGCGGAATAGATGATCTTACAATTTTTTTGCGACCCTTCTTACCCGTGTCTAAACATCATGTCAATGCAGTCATATGCTGTGCAATAGTGTCATATCATGGTGCACTACTCATAGGTTAGTGATAATGACGACGCTGGTATGAACCAGCCCACCCTCTGACAGCTGTAATTACTCTGTACATTCCCTAATAATGCAGAATGATGACAAATGGCCTTGCTGTTAGCATTGCTATTTACCATTCTTCTTGGTGTTACTTAGCTTATACACCTACTTCAATTTTAATTGGCTGGAAAACTGTATGTCACGTTAGGCTGGCAGCCACGGCCCCGTATGTAGTTCCTGTACTCGACTGCACTGTCTTCTCTTGGGTATTCATTGGTTCCTGATGGCTTTTGGAGAAGCAGGAAATGCTGTACATATATTGTATCATCTAGGTGTGTGGTAGGCTATGCTGTCTGGGTTTGTACACATGTACTATATAGTGCTTATACAACAACAAAGCTGTTCGATGTTACATTCTCCAGAACATCTCTCCATCATTTAGCAATGCATGGATCATGCTTTCTCTCTCCTCCCACCTCTACATATGTGTACATATGCGTGTGTGCACTCTCTCTCTCTATATAATATAATATATATGCATAAATATGGCTCAGTATAATGCCATGCACTCTAGGCACCTGATTATTTATTTTAGTGTTTTGAGGCAGGATCTCCTATGACTGAGGCTGGTATTGAACTCACTCTGTGGTAAAGGATGACCTTGAACTCGATCCTCCTGCCTTCTGGAAGTGCTATTACCTACCTTACTGTTATCAAAGCAGTGACAGAACCTTCCAGTTGAATACTCAGACTCTGGGATGAGTCAGGCCATCTAGCTCCAACACTTCATGTGCTAATTTTTACCTGTGTGCTGCACATAACTTCCTTAAAAGCGTTTGGCCTCAGTCCCCTCTTCTGTTAAAGCCAGGCAGTGGCTAGGCGACAAAGTCACCCTGAGTGTTAAACTCACAGCAGCTGGAGCGGAGGTTTTAGTTTCGCTGGACTCTTCCCATCCCTCTTCTGTTAAAATGCATTATGCATTTGGGCTAAAAGGGATGGCGACAGCGGGTTAACAAAGCACAGCCTCGCTGTGATCTATTGCTCTTCCTACCAATGAAAGACCTACTGGGAAGTGCTTTACTTAAGGCTGTGAGGACACCAAGCAGCCTTTGGGTGTGCGAGGCATCTAAACACAATAGTGGGTGGATCCTTCAGCTGACTGGAAACTGGGAATTGACTCTTGCTTTTCCTCTTTGCCAGGGCCATTGTTACCACCAGCTGTTCAGCCTTCCCAATGCCATAGATTGGAAGAAGGCAGCTTCTTTGGGAGAAAAGTCCCTAGTTCTCATCATATTTTGATATACATAATACTCTTTTCACGTTTTCTTCTAGGGTGATGGTTCTTTAGCTTGATAAACTGTCAAACCTTAATGCAAAAGTTACCTATTCGTTATTTCACTAAGAGTTGCCACTAGAGTAATTATCTGAACTCTTGTAATCTCTCTGTAACTCTTTAGCCACACAGCAAATCCTATTTTAGTTTTAGTTTTGGTCTTAAGGAGTTCTTTGTTTTTTTTTTTCTAGTGGTGTTTGGTACTACTCAGAACAATTTTTCCGATCACGTAGGCCATCCCAGCTTGAAGACATGATGGGTTGTTCGCACTGTCACATGACTTTGGTGAATGACAACTGAAACTGGCCTTGTATGCACGCCTGCCAAACTACTAAAGCAGCGACACTACCCCCCCCCCCCCCGCCCCGATCTAGGCAGAGGTTCCTCAGGCAGCCTTGACATGGTGCCAAGACCATTGGGCAAGAAGTGAAGAGGTGACTTTAGTTTCCAGTGTCAGCCACTTCCTTGTAGGAACAGTACCACAGTCTTTTCCAGTAGAACTGCATGTTCTGTTGACCGAGCAAGGACTGGTCAGAAGGTGGCAACAGAAACGGCAGCTGAGAGAGAGAGAGAGCAAGACGTCGCGTTCTTTTCCTAGTTGTAGCATGACATCTGGGAACATTTGAAAAAAAGCATAGCAGGTGTTCAGGAGATGCTGGTCTGGCCTGCATAGCTTGGGAGAGGTAGCCACAGCAAACATGACGTCAGCTGTAGGGCACTGAGAGGCGCCTCCCTTCCTTTGACATTTTCTCAGAGGATCGACACTCTTACGTCAAGCTGGGGGCTGCAAGAGGAACCTCTATGTGCACTGCCTCTCTTGGGCTCCGGCCTGTGAACCTCCTGTTACTATTTACTTCATCTTGAGGCAAGCTCTCCCCTTTCTTAGCTGTTCTGTTCAGCAATGGCAGTCGCATGGCCGACTGGTGGACCAGTGGCGTCACGGTTTGGGTCTTAGCCATTGTCTCACCGTGAAGTCGCTCAGCAGTATGCCATCACGGTTGGAACAGATTTGCTGTGATTAGGTTCTATCAAGTGTAACGAATTGGGTTAACGAGGTCAAGGTACTGCTGCCAGTGAAGGTGGGGAAGATAAGAACACACAGGGCACACTGGCAAAAGTCTTGTGGATCTCAGAGCTCCAGGAAGACATGGGACCCGTGTTGGTATTTTCCATTTTTTTTTTTTCAGAAAATAAGAACAAAAGAAGTAGCATCAGAGGGGCCCTCAAAGATCAGTCATCAGAATTACTGGCAAGAGCTTGTTTCTTTATAGGCCGGGCTGTCAGCCAGCTTCTGGAATGTTCACGGACAGAGAAAGCTTTAGAGGCAGGCTTCCGAAGACATCAAAATGAATTTCTCTCTCTCTCTCTAATGCTCTCACCCTATTGGCCAACTGAAATAACCCCAGTAGGTCTCAAGATTCCTCTTGTAGTCACACAATAGTCCTCTAAGTGATGAAAACAACCATCAAAGTCCCGTAATCTTTCTTCTCTAGACTAAACATCCTGCGGTTACTCAACATTTCTGTGTAGCCTGGTT